GCTGGAGAGTTAGGGAGAGTTGTAATAGATGGTGCAATACTCAGGGTGTTAGCCGCTCACAACCGGTACTGGAAGGAAACGATAAAGACTTTAGAGGCAATAGACGATGGAGGAGATAAGAAGGACCTTGAGACATTTTATGACATATTGGAGCGGTCGACGATGAGGTTATAAGTGGTTATAGCACTAACTTACCTCAGCTGTTAGACAGATGACCTCGTAGCCGTAGAGGAGATAAGGTGGAGGAAACAGAAATTAGAAGCTCTTGGAAGGATAGAGGAAGCTAGAAAGGTCGATGGGCGACATTGGACGGCAGTAGGAGGGCCTTTAGCGGGCTAACCGATTCAGGACAGGGCTAGGAGAACTAGCAAGGAGGACGGAGATAAACGCTCGGAGACTCTTGAGGGGTGTTGATCAAGAGACATTGGTTAGGTTTGGGATACCGGATACTCGGAGTGGTAATCAAGGCAGTCGAGAGCTAAGGTTGGAGGCGGACGCGAGCCGTGACAAGGAAACAGGTCCGGGCTGCCGCAACTGTCACAGGTCCGGGCTGCAGCGACTGTAATAGGATCGGGGTGTAACAGTTGGCTAGGATACCTAACTGCGTCTTCAGGCGGTGCAATGGAACCCGACACGATGGGGCCACAACCGACCGCAGGCGAAGCGGGAGAGGAGTACAGGACATCGCCCGATCGAGCTCTCAGAGATCTGAAGGAACGAATTAGGCGAGAAGCACCGCTGAGATGGGCTGACCAAACTAATGACGGAGGGTCCGACGTGAGGGGCGAACCAGTTGCGACAGAGCCGCAGGAGGCTCTAAAGACGGGTACCTCGAGCGGACGACGAGAAGCGATGAGGCGACGCTCCCCCGAGTACGAGCGGAGGGACACCATASCGGACAGGCACAGAGACGACTGGAGAGAGAGTTTGAGGGATTCCTATTGGAGGGACAGAGATAKAGAYAGGGCGYCGCCCAGGCGAGTCTTCGACCCCCAGACAGGGGAGTCACATCCGCTCCCTTATGAGAGCAAGGATCGCTATATTATTACGCACAAGGCCTCAGAGCCTCCTACCTTCAGGGGCTATGGTATCACAGAATATCTCGAGAAGAGGGAGCTTCACGCCAGCCGGAGTCAGTGGTCGAAGGAAGGGATTATAGAGAACTTCCTATTTAATGTGGACCCAAGTCTCGGTAGAGAAGTTAAGGAAGCTCGACCGAAGGATGGGAAATGAAATACGTACAAGATGAACCTCGTTGAGCTTTACAAATTGGAGGATAACAAGTATTTCATCAAAGACCTTGAAACAAGGACTCAAGACGAAGATGAGAGCGTACGGGCATTTGGGATGCGTTTCCAGAAGATCTCCGACGTGCTGATGAAGAAGGGGAAGATCTCAGAGGTCGAGCGCTGTACTATCTTCATCGGACACTTGTCCAAAGGTAGGCAAAAAAGTATACTTAGAGATCTTCCGCGCGACAGGCTTGATTTCCCAGAAGTCCTTAAGCTCGCGATAAAGACAGAGGCAGACGATTATAAGGACTTGGTGTGGAGAGGGATGAGGAGGCATGACTTCTCTCTCTACAAGGAGTATACCACTGATAGATGTCCTGATTTCAAGGACTAACCCTGGTCGGAGAAGAATGAGGCCGTGGCTGAGGAAGTGAAGGAGATACGAGACATGGTGAAGGGACTGACGAGACAGGTTACAGAGATTGTAACCACTACACGGGCCATGGCCTACCGGGACAAACCTGGAGGGCCCTATTCACTTCGCTGGGACCGTAGGAACAACAATTCCTGGAGGAGTGTCGAGGATAGAAATCCTCGGACGCTGACTGATTATCGTATGAGGGGAAGAGAAAGAGACGATGAGCCATGGCGACGTAGGGATGATGAGATAGACCGGGACCGCAGAGATCGCGAGCCGTTTGCGCGAGCAAGGAGGTTGGATGATTACCCGCGAAGCCCTCGCTATGAGGCCGATGGGGGTAGAGGTGACTCCCGCGGCCGATGGGAGACAGATCAGGGCCGACGAGATGGATATAGGGACGACAGATACGAGAGATCGGACCGAGATAGATATAGGGACGACAGATACGAGAGATCGGACCGAGATGGATATAGGGACGACAGATACGAGAGATCGGACCGAGATGGATATAGGGACGACAGATACGAGAGGTCGGGTCGAGATGGCTACAGAGGAAGTAGGTATGAAAGAGGAGATCGGGACAGGGAACGACGAGATGGATCGCACGGACAGTTTGAGCGTGGGGGAGATGCGAGAGAGCAGCGCGACGAGTCGCGGGGGTGGTACAACCGAGGGGACCGACGCGATGAGTCACGAGGGCGATATGACTCGGGGGACCGCCGGAATGATTCGCGAGGGCGGTATGAGCAAGGAGGGTCTGGAGGAGACCGGCGCAACGATCCGCGCGGTCGGAATGAGAGAGGGGGATATGGCGTCTCATCAGAACCATATCCCAAGTCGCCTGACCCCAAGGCGGCCAGGAGTTCGATCTCTATAGGCGCAGATGACAAGGCATCTACTCCCAGGAACTCATGCGTCTACTGTAGAGGAAAAGATCATATCAAGAGGGATTGCCCAGACCTCAAACGGGCGATAGATGAGGGACTCGTCGTGCTTGACGACCGCAAGTACGTCAAGTGGGCAGATGATCTGGGAGATGTATCGATGTTCCCTTCGATGAAGGAGAATGTCGAAGCAAGGAGAATAAAGACGAGTAAAGGAATGGAGTCGGTCAGGAGCCAGAGCATTAAGTTAACCTTTGAGGGGGATATCGCGACCACACCCATAAGGGTGGCAGCCACCAAGTCGGCAAGAGGGTCTACATCGAAGAAGACTGACACGGATTACGTGATGGCGGAGAAGGACGGGCAGCGGGTCGATGGAGAGGAGGTTATCCTTTCGCCGCGAAAGCGGGGAGTGAAGAAGTTCTTAATGAAGAGTTCGCTGGACTAGATTGACACGGTCGAGCCACTGAGGCGGGCCCTTCAGCAGCCCATGCAGTGCTCTATTCTGGAGTACCTGGCGGCATTGAAGCCGGCTCGTGATGAGTTACAGATGATCACGCGGAAAACTCGCATACCTCTATTGGAGGAGGGTCAGAGGGCCCCTATGGCGGAAGCTTCTACAGTAGCAGTAACGGAGGTGACTGCCAGAGCGGATCGCATGGCGACAGTCCTTCTCGATGGAAAGGAAGGTGTGCCTCCAGACAAGTTTTATATACTTGGTAGCGGAGCCGTGGAGACGATAATAAACGATGGAGCGGTACTCGATACTGTGATCGATAACGACAGTGAGGCTGTCATCATAGACGAGGACCTGGCAGCACAGGTTGGACTGGGCCTCTACAGGTCGTACCTATTCGAGATAGAGACGACTGATGGGAGAAAGCAACAGATCACTGGGGTTTGTCACAAGGCAGCCATAGAGGTCCAAGGGGTACGAGTGACCCTGCCTGTCTTTGAAGTCAAGAACTGCAGCTCCGACCTGCTCTTGGGTCGAACGTGGCTGAGCCACGTGCATGCGGTAACGATAGAGCGACCTGATGGGAGCCAAACATTGTCCATTAAAAAGCCAGACGGGACGCGGGTAATGATTGAGACAGTGGAGCCTCGGGACCCGAGGAACAGAGCAGCTCTCACTGTGGGTGCGAAACCCAGTGATCAGATTAAGTCGTTGCCTATCTCCAGCCGCGCGGTGCGAAATATGGACCACTGCTCACAGAGGAAGAAGGTCGGATCGTGGAGGTGGAAGATTTAGGGAGTCGGCTAATAGTGGGCGGCAACTCGTACCGAAAGGGAAAAGATGAGGAATTTGGCGGTGTGGTATCCGTGTTTTTTTTAAGGGCACGGCCCCCTATGGAGGGCTACCCAAGCGACACAAACGAGTAGCACAAAAAGTTAAGCCAGCGGCGGTGGGCCGCGAGCGATCTGCACTAGAAGGGATATCGGAAGAAGAGATCGCAAAAGAAATCAAAGAAAGAAAGAAAAACGAGCCGCAACGCCTAACGGAAGACGGGATAACAGGGATGGACATCGGAGATGGGAATTTGACCCCACAGGAGCGAGAACGTGTGATAGAAATCCTGAAGACATGTGATAAGGCCATAGCTTTTAGTGACGCGGAGCGCGGTAGGGTTGACCCTCAATACGCTAAGCCAGCAAGGATTTACACGATACCACATGTCCCCTGGAATGACGCGGGATGGAAATATGCCCAGAAGGAGAAGGAAGAAGTTATCGCTTTCCTGAAAGAAAAGATGGTTTCCCACGTTGCGGAGCCGTCAGATAGCGCTTATGCTAATCGATGGTTCTTCCTACGAAAGCCGAATGGCAAGATCCGATGGATCCAGGACCTTCAGAAGGTCAACGCGTTGACGATACGAGACGTGGACTCCGTGCCACACACCGATTTACTGGCAGAAGGCGCCGTAGGTAGGTCGATTTATTCGGTCTGTGATCTGTTCTCAGGCTATGATGAGGTGCCACTTGACCCTAGAGACAGGCACCTCACCGCTATACATACACCATTGGGACTAATACAGATGATGGTTGTCCCTATGGGTTGGACTAATGGGGTAGCCGTTTTTCAGAGAGCCATGGTAGCCGTCCTCAAGGACTTCATCCCTGATAAGGTTGAAGTTTTTCTGGATGACTTTCCTATAAAAGGGCCAGTAGACAGAGATGAGACAGAGGTTGTACCTGGAGTTAGGAGATTCGTCGAGCAGCACCTAACAGATATTTGCGCGGTACTCGAGCAGCTGGACGATGCGAATTTAACAGTCAGCGGAACAAAGAGCCGATGGGCCGTCTCGACTATTACGATCGTGGGCTTTATCTGTGACTCGAGAGGACGCCGAGCAGATCCGGCGAAGTTAGACAAACTTCTGAACTGGCCGTYACCGTTGCATAGCCCTACCGAGGTCCGGCAGTTTTTAGGAGTGGTCGGTTACTGGCGTATATTCATACGGGGGTATGCGAAGAAGGCTGAGCCATTGAGGTTACTCCTTAAAAAGACTGAAAAGTTCTACTGGGATTCTTCGCAGGAACTCGCTATGCAAGAACTTAAAGACAAATTTAAGGAGGGAGGACGTGTGTTGGGCGTGCCATTCTTTGACGATGAGACCGAGAGACCCTTCATAGTATCCACGGATGCTGGACCATGTTCTGTAGGTGGTTTACTGTCTCAGAAGGACGCTGGAGGGAAGGAAAGACCGTTAAGATTTGAGAGTAGGACACTTAATACGGCTGAGCGTAACTACAGTCAATTCAAGAAGGAAGTATTAGTTGTTCTGCGGTGTCTAGACACGTTCAGACATTATATATAAGGACGACGGTTCATCTTAAGAGTGGATCCCACCGCGGTCGCCTCTGTCCTCCAGAAGGACTTTAGCCTGACAGACCCGACCATTGCACGATGGTTAATACGGATTCGACTATATGATTACACAGTAGAGAGGATATCTGGCACTAAAAATGTCGTAACGGATGGGCTCTCTCGGATCCCTCTTGAGGGAGAGCGCCCGATAGTAGCTGGAGCCCTTACAATGGCATGGCCGAGACGCGCCGAGAGATTTTTGGTTAATCTTTACGAGGGCAAATACCGAATGATCGGGCTACATTTGTCAGGAAAGGAGAGTCAAGAATCAGATATCCAGAGACAAGCGGCCTAGTACTGCCTTAGAGCTGGCCATCTGTTTCGAAGGCCGAGCGGCTCGGGGATGCCCTTACGAGTAGTCTGTGACCCTGAGGAGAGACAGACAATAGTTGCGGAGCTTCACGACGGGGTAGTAGGAGGACACAGGGGAGTCAAAGGAACCTACAAAAAGGTACGCAGGTTGTACTGGTGGGAAGGACAGTATAAAGACGTCGAGAGGTATTGTAGGACCTACGAAGAGTGCCAGAAGAGAGCTCTTGTGAAATACAAAGAGCCACTTCATCCATCTTATCCGACCAGACCAGGAGAGAAGGTACACATCGACCTGGTGATGATGCCGAAAGGGGTAGGCAATATGACTTATGTAGTGAACATACGAGACGACTTCACGGGGTTCGTGGACGGTAGACCTATCAGGAGTAAAACGGCAAGGGAAGTGAAGAACTTCGTCCTAGAGTACTTATCTAGGTATGGTTGTGTCAGCAAGATAGTGATGGACACGGGAGCAGAGTTCCTGGCTGACGAGGTTCAAAATATATTCAAGAGAGCTGGGGCGAAAGTTTCGATAGCCACTGCCTACCACCCACAGTCGAACTCCCCAGTAGAGAGAGGGCACTAGACCCTGATAGCGTCCCTATCCAAGTGGTGCAAGGGTAAGGATAGTGATTGGCCACGATATTTTCGATACGCAATTTGGGCGGACAACGTCACGGTCCGGGCTAGCACGGGATACCCTCCATACACCTTGTGGTTTGGGCGGCATTGTCCGCTTCCCATAGAGTTTCATGTCGAAAGTTGGACAACCGTCGACTGGGCGGAGGAGATGTCCAGACAGGAACTCATAGCTGCCCGAACAAGACAGATAGCCTACGGCGGATCGTCTGACAGTGGAAAGAGACAAAGGTAAAGAGAGATTGGATAAGAACGTGAGAATCAGGAAGGAGAGGGTGAGTGTAGGAGATATGATCCTTCTCTACGATGCAGCGCTGGAGAGAACCTGGACCGGAAAACTCGCCAACAGATGGATGGGACCTTACAGAGTGGTTGAAGCACTCGACTGGGGTGCATATATGATAGCAGAATTAGACGGATCCAAGTGGAAGGACCCAGTGGCGGGTGCAAGGTTAAAGTTGTTTAGGCCCAGGCTCGCGCCCGCCTTATCGCTGACCAGCCCGAAAGGGAAAGGAAAAGCCATGATGGAGGATGGAGCCCCGTTGAGGCAATTTGAGGCAGGGGAGAGTTCCAAGAAAAGGAAAAGAATAGAGAAGAGAAAGGTCAAAGGGTTAGCTTTAGGAAGAGAGAAGAGATAGTTATTCGTGCTCAAGCGAGTGGCGGGTCGACACCCTTCTCGGGGCAGAGACAAAAGAAAAAGAGGATCATGCCGGGACCAAGAACCAGAAGAAACAGGAAAATCAAGAAGCATCTTCTTAGCTCATGGACTCGTAACAAACTAAAACATAAGACAATTGAGCGCCGAAGTGGGCATTCTTTACGGGCCATCACCCAGAAGCTCATCCGCTTCGTCTGACGTAAGTTGCTAGGGCTCAACGGGGGCGTCGAGAAGTGGTCCGGGCTAACTATCAGGCGGCCACAAGCAGTGCGCCGCCTGAAATCTACGGTTTTGGGACTTAGGCGCGACGACGAGTCCGTGTTTTGACGGTACTCTGGTTTGACCGGGCAGCAAAGATTAGGGAAACTCAGGGTACCCCTGATTTTGGGCGCACTGAACCTTACGGGTAACCCTCAAAGATGGCGAGATGGGTGGTCGCACTCGGCACATCAACGGACCGTCATTTCCGGCCGTTCGGAGGGTTAGACCCGGATTGGCATACTGAGGGGGGGCATCGCGGGGACTAACCTCGCTGCGACGTTCTTTGCAGCGTATGATCGGGGTTAAAATAGCACCTCGAATTTTTGTCATTTTTTGTATCTAAATTAAAGATGGGAGAAGAGATTGAGAACAGTAGGAGGGAAGAGAAAAACGTAATATTCCTTAATTTCCTTGTTTTTCRCAGCATTTRAGTTTTSGGRAAAATACCCCGTTATTTTATGTTTTCYGGCAATGGAATCGAAAACAAARGAAAAGATTAAAAATKATAAAGGARAAAAGGAACAAAGAATTTCAACAATTKAATTAAGACTCTCTCRGAATTTATTTTTGGTAAGTTTACGGTTATTTTACTATTTYGGGTAATAGAGTTAAGAAAAGGGGRGGATGATTAAAAATGATGGAACGAACAAGAACCGAWRATTATTCGATGCTTGGCCTGATTTTGCTTGGATTTCCCACCGTCGGCTCTGAACCYAGATTAATCASTCTTCCCTGGATCCCAACCTTTTTCGCCGATCCCTGATGATCAAGGTTTTTCGTGCCACTTTCCCGAKCCAC